TAACTATTCACTGGCAAAATACAAATACAATTAATTCCGTTTTGCTTGGCACGCTTTAATAATGGCGAAAAGGCACTAGAAGAAGCGACCAATATGGCAACATCAACTGCTTTTAATTAGACTTGCTGAACATAATCAACTGGCAAGGAGTTGAGGCTTCATAAGTTTCGCAAGTTGCGCTTCGCGAACTTCGGGCCCAGCCTCCATGGCCGCCATGGCTCTGCCCCACGGCTGCCCAGGATGTTGTAGCCATAACGAACTGCATGTTGTTTTTGTTATTGTTGTTGCTGTTGTTGTTGTTGTTGCATGTTGTGCATTTAAAGTTTTTTGTAGCGTGCAATGCAGGAAATCATTTTAACAATTTTCTACCTCAACCTCAGCCTCATTTTCAGCGCCAGCTGCCCAGCCCAGCTGCTGCTGCTCCTGCTGCTGCTGCTGCTGCATCCCCTGCTCCTGCTGCTGCCACTTTCTATACAAGTTCAGTGCACCCGCAAACAGACACGCGATGAAAAGGCGCTGCCGACGCGAACGTTGCTTTGATATTTGTGTGCTTACTTGTTTGGCGGTGTGTATTTGTGTGTGGGTGTGGGTGTCTGTCTGCGTTTTTCGGACTGCCTGCAGTTCTTTTTATTTGACGCAGCAGCAGGAGCAGCAGCAACGCAGCTTTTCTTCCTTTCGGTAATTATGAATGGCCAACGGGCAGAAAAGGTATAAAAGTCATTGGCATGCAAGAGCAACCGCCCCGCCGTCCACCCAACCGCCTACACTTTGTTCAATTAAAAGTTTTATGCAAGCCAGTTATCTCTACTTATTTAATACAGAGCCCGCGGCACGGTTAATCAAGCCAGCTTAAAGGCCAACTGCACCTCATTCGCCGATCTCTGCCCACTCACTTGAGACTACAATTGCCCAGACAGCCAGACAGGCAGACAGCCCGATGGCTGGCCTCGGCCTAGACACGTGTCGCCATTTAAATTCAACGCCTCGCAAACAATGCGGCGAAATGAAAACAAATAAAGCACTTAAATATGCTGCAGCAACACGGGAAAACACAAGGCACGAAAATAAAATTACGGCCTGCAGTTGGGGCCAAGAGTCGTGTGTCCCTGCGGCCCTGGCCACACCTGAGCCGTAGACCGAGCCGGAGCCAGATGCACCAAACTTCCTCCTTGACTAATTGCAATGTAAAGTGTTTAGACACAATTTGGCAGCAGTAGCATGTAAGTGCTCTCCCCTCTCTCCCTCTCTCTCACTCCCTCACTCTCCCACTTTCGCATGCAGAGAAAATTGCTCAATTAAGTAGGTGCTGGAGCTTCTCTTTTATTGCCTGTTTGTGTTCGGGCTGATTTGTCTACTTATAGCTGGCCTCACTTCTGTAATTCACTCGCATAACAGGCCGTGTCAAGCATAATTTGCCATTGCAGTTGAGGCCTCAACTGGGCCAATTGCAGATGGCGCGAGTGGGCGCAGTTGGACTTTAGCTGCTGCCCACACACACACACACACACACAGCTTCTAGTAATATATATCGATGGCAACTTTCACTCAATAATGCCTTAAGCAGGCCAGCTGCCATTCATCTCTTATCCGAGCTCTGACAAATAGCCGTGCAGCGAGCAGCAAACACGGCTAAGTATCGCCGCTTTGTGTTGGCCATCGAAATGCTTTGATAGACCGTATTTTTATCTGTGCTCTGAATGGACCGTAGACAGTAGAGACAGACAACTCCAACTAACTTTGATTTATGACAATTTAGTTCATTTGATTATTGCTACAAAGAGAGAGACAGAGAGAGAGAGAGAGCGAGAGCTAAGAGAACTGAGCTTAGGCCAGTCAATGGGCAGCAGATTTTGTGCTGTGTAAAACATTTTCATTTTCCATTCAAATTCAATGCTAATCTACTTGCCGGACAAGCCGAATTTTGGGGCGCGCCCGACTTGCCCGGGCATCATTTATCATGGCGCCCGGGCCCAGGCGCCGGGGCTCGTTTCGCAGGCAGTTGGGTGCGGCGGGTATTTGTAGTAGGCCAAGCGCATAATCAACACATAGAGCTCATCATTTTCACTCTGCGATACATTTAGATATAGTTCCCTTTATATATATATGGATATAAAAATAGGTTTTTTTGTGTTATCCGCTTCTGTTTTTTTGGGCTGTCTGACAGCACGTGCAGTACATTAGGCTGTGGCAATGCCTTTCCATTTTACAGTCCGAGAGCTGCATGTGAAAACAAAGAGCCGAACGAATGGAAGCCGGGCGCAACAAAGTTTAGCTAACTGGCCAGCCGTGCGTATACATAACCAGGCTGACCCATAAAACAAATGTATATAAGCGAATGTATGTATGTGTGTGTGTGTATGCATGCAGATTTCGCGCTGTCCCAAATGAGCAGCTGAGTGAAATTTTAGTCGAGTCGTGAGCGCATTAGTTATGCGCAACTTACACGCCATAATAAAATAATATTACATTTCACAGAGCCGACTCTCTAAAAACTGTGTGAGAGAGAGAGGGAGAGAGAGAGAGTGGGATATAGAGTGAGAGAGAGCTGTACTTCATACAGATTTGTCCCCATTTCACAGAAAATCCTGGCCGCGCTGCGCCTCATTAAGTATACTGCGAAAAACCGCCAAGTCTTTGAGGCAAAGCACTCGCCTCCTCCTGTCGCTCATTTCAGTCTCTCTCTGTGTGTGTGTGTGTGTGTTTTTGTCTGCGGTTTTAATTTACTCTTGCTTCATAGGACTCTGGCTCTGTTGTTGCCACTTCTCACTTCTCACGCCACGTCGCAATGTCGCCGACGGCAGCAGGTTAAGCTTCTACTTGAACTTCTAAGTGTTGGTGTTACACGAGCTGAGGTGTTGTTTGGCAACTGCCTTTGACGTCTCTCTGTGTGTATGTGTGTGTGTGTGTGCGCTGAGTCCCTGAGTGCATGTGTCTCCCACACAGCTACATATGTGTGTGCTTGTGGCATGTTTGTGTGCTTGTCTAGTGGCTGGGCATGTCCGTCTAAGCTTTTGATTCTTTCACTGAGTCTCTCAGAAATCGCCATGTTATTTACAGCTTCCAGTTATTAGGTTTGCTGCAAACCGGAAGCCCTTCCACATATCTCCACATGGAATGGAATATGAGCGCCTCATAGGCGTGTCAAATGACGTGAGGCTCTTTAAAGGCTCTAACATCTAGGTGGGCGCGTCTAGGCTGCGCCACGTTGATGAGCAGAAAGCAATTAAGAGTGCAAAAAATGACGTCAGAGGACAACACAAATAGAGTAGGGAAAAGCGCAAGCATTTCTCTCACAGTTAATGAGCAAGTAAAGAGCAAGATAAGTAATGGATTAAATATAGTAACAAAACTTATGGAAACTCATTCGTCATAACTCAACACTTGTCCAGCAACAACAGCATTTATATTTAATTGTTTAAGCAATAAACAACAAGAAAAGCCAAAGGAAAACACTGAACCGATATCTTCTCCCTCTCTCTCACTCTCTTATATGTGAATGCCTAGCAACTCCTCCATGATAAGGTGCGGCAAACGCAGTGGCTGCTCATAGTCGGGCCGCTTGAGATATTCCTCAAAGGTGATCTCGTTGTAGCGTCCGGTGAGCACATCGTCCATGAAGTTGTTGGAGCGCAGGAAGGGCAGCCGGGTCGTCTTGCTGACAACGAAGCGTTCCATGCCTATGACCAGAGGCAGCGCCAGGCCCACCTGGTTGCGCAGCACTTGCATGTCCTGCATATAGTTATATTCGTCGTTATAGACGAGAGAGTCGGAAAATATCTGCGGCAAGGCCAATGCGGTGAGGCGATCCGGCTCACTGGACGGCAGACTAAGCTTGGAGGCATTCACCTGATTTAATTCCATTGCTGGGAGTATTTCTTAAGAGAGGATTTTATGTTAAGTATTTTGGTTGTGTGTGATTTGTTTTGTTTTGCAGTTGATAGAGTGTTGAACAGTTTCATAATTTTGTACAGCTTAGCATATGAAGTTGACGGAAAAGTAATTGACTAGTATATGCCTGTTGTATAGAAAATATATTCAAAATTAATTAATTATTAAAATATTCATATATAGAATTAATAATATTAATTAAGCTCAACATAATCTGCTTGAATTTTAAAAAAATACTTTAAGTGTATTTTAATAAATTTTTCAGTTATAAAACTTGATTAAATTCATTCATTATTCATTCATTTACTTAAAAAAAAAAAAAAAAAAAAATTGTTAAAAAATAAATAACAATAAGATACTATTAAAAAAAAATTATAAATTTAAAATTCTGATTTTATATATATAAAATAGTATTTTATAGCTGCTACATCCATATATAAGTATACATTTAAGTGTGTATGCGTTTTGCAATTGGGCTTATCAACTTTCACCTGAGTTTTCGGCATGCGCTGTGTAATTAATTATTTGCGCCACTAAGTCGAGCCATTTCCATGCCAGACGCATATATGGGAAGGACCGCAGGATGGCAGCCACCGTCGGAGCCACCGTCAGCAACACCAGCAACGTCGCTTGCTTTTTGCATAATTCAACCACTGGCAGGCGGGTCACGTAGACAACGCAAACGGCGTGATTAGGGTTTTCGGCTCAGCCGAAGCGTTCAGCAGCCAAAGATCCTGTCCAGGACCCGGGCTCAGACTAACCGCAACATGTGTGCCTGTATAAGTGTATATGTGTGTATGTGTATATACGTGTGCCTACGTGTTCGTTTTCTCGTGTGTGTATGAGTGTGTGTCTGTGTCTGTGTGTGTGTCTGTGTGTGGCTGCGGTGGCTGTTGCTGTTTATGCCGCTGGCATCATTAATACCCAAATCAAAGTTTGTTTGCCTCTAACACAGTTGTGTAAAACATTTCAGTTTAAATGCCGAACCGAAGCAAATGTCAAGAGCCCTTTTAATTATCCATTTTTATTGGCATTTGTCGGAGATTCTTTTAATTTCCCATTTAGTTAAGCTTAAGTTAATTCAATTAAATATTTCAATCAGATATCAATCAATTCAAAATGATATTTGTTAAATTTACGTAAATGTGATATTAAAAGTAATTAATAATAATAATAATAAATAAATAACAACAAAGCATGTATGAAGAAAATATACAATATTTAATAATAATATGAGATATATTATATAATATTATAAAAAATTTAATTTAAATATATCTCCCTCCTGCAATTTACATTTAAATCAATAATTACATTTTTAGTTTTTTCATTTTTTTAAAAATACTATATAAAATAAAAATTAAATTACAACTTTTGCAATAATATTTTCATTGAGAGCTGCAGTCTATCTCTCTCTTTCCCCTCCTCTGTCTTTTCCCTCTCTCTCACTCTTACTCTCTGCCTATTTCTCTCTCTCCCTTTCTCTCTTACTATACCAAACGTATGTTTTATGCATTTCGAGCTGATAAGCAATTGTGCGAAAATCAGCGTAAATAAACCACGAAATGTTTGTGAAAAAAAATAAGATGAGCAAAAAATAAGCATTAATTAGCTTGAATTGCATTTATTTGCGAGCGTGTCGAATCGTGTGTATGTTAAATAGCTGCGGACTCCAACTCAAATCAACTCGAGTCCGTTTTGCTGACTAAGGCTTCATTAGTCGAAACTTCTTAATTGTTTCATTAATGCAATGCAATCCGTTTGCTTGGCACTTAATTTAATTTTATTTGCTGTCACCGCTGCTGCTGCCCCTGCTCCCGCTCCTGCTGCTGCTGCTCCAACTCTTGCTGTAGTTTTTAAATAATTGTGCTCAATTATTTCACCCAATTTAACATTTCCCCAACTCTCGCTCTATGTGTGCGTGGGGATTTCGTGCTTACTGTATACATTTAAATGACGTCATTTATATTCCGGCGGGATAAGCACTTGATGTAAAATTACTGGCGACGAGCGTTTGCCGGGATATAATAATAAAAAAAAAAAGAAAAAAAAACGGAAACAAAAAGAATATTCAATTAAACCCGTTTCTTCGCCGAAAACACCGTTGACAGCGCTTATTAATCTGACGTCATTTCTTTCAGCCCCCATTCCCCGCCACCTCCTGGTGCAGTTTTTTCGTTGTGCAATTTAATTAATGTAATTGTTATTACCACAAGGCTTTCATGTTTGCTCTCGCTGTCCACTCGCAGGCCTAATAAAAATGTATACCTGAGCCTGATGCGGGCTGCGAGTGAGATTGAGCAGGGTGAGACAGAGGGGGCCAGAGAGAGAGAGAGAGAGAGAGAGAGAGCGAACCGCCATAGAAATGGCAATTCATTATTTGCATGAAACCCAACCTCAAGCGCCACTCAAACAGCGGCCCGAACACTCCAACCCCGTTAGACTTTTGACCATATTTTTGCATTTATGCGCATGAAACGCGCTGCTTAGCTTTATGTCGAGCATCGCCCTCTGCTTAGATAGGGTATACCAAGGGGTACTTTAATTAGTATAAGCCAAATTGAATTTATACTAGAAAAATGTGGAATTTAATTGGATTTTTTGGGCTTAAATTGATACAGAAATAATGTTATATCTATTATAATCTAGGTAAAAAATGCAAATAGAGTGCATTCGCTAGTCAAAGTTCAGTGCTCTAAATTTCCCTGTTTCGTTCAAATTTTTTTTTTATTTGATGCCATACACCATTTATATGAATATACGTATATATGCGGAGAGCATACACTATATAGTTTTGCGCTTGGCAGAACGCGAAATTTGTTTTGGCCAGCCAAAAAAGCCAACATCGTCAAATTTAAATGAATGACTGCAGTGGAAATGCAACTGCCAGTCAGTCAGAAAGAGTTGAAGGTTTGCACACTTTTCTCTATTTATTTTGTTTTTTTCGGTCGGCGCTACTCGAAAATAATAAAAAGCCAAAGAATCCCACAGAAAAAGCTGTGCAAAAAGCATTGCCTACTTTTCAGCTGAAGTGCTGCGGCTGGCTCTGCGGCTCTTTTGCATTCGCAAATGGCTGGAGTCATTTATTTGAAACAAATCATTTGCCATGCCAGCGCGGCTGCTGCCTAGACACTTAAGCATTGGATCGCAAAAAGGCTGACAAGTTAAAGCGGCGCCGGATCATTAAAGCCAAGGCCCTCGCCCAGGCTCGCGCCAACTTTGGTGGGACGGCAGGCCAATTTTTCAAAGGCACACGAACAAGAACTTTGACTGACGCTTGTCGCTTGCCATCCAAAGATAAACTTCGCTCTGGTTCGAAACTTATTGAGGCGCAAACACTTGGAGGGGGACGGGGTCCCCCAACAACTGTCTGCCGCTATCTATCCCACGTACAGACACAGTGCAAAATAAGTGTATTATACTATTGTATATAAAGAGTGCCTAAGAATGCAACTATAAGAATGTTGACTGAACCACAGGATATATTGCCTTTGATTTTTTTAGATAAATTTAATGAGAGAGAAGTATGAAGGAAATAATATAATATTAATAATAATATTCTTAAAAATATATTTTTTGAACTAAAGTATGGATATATTTAATATGTAGTTGAACCAGCATATATCTAAGAAGTTTTTATAGAATAATATTTATTATTTCTTTCATTGCTTATTTTATTGCTTTTTGATGATATCAAAGTATGTGTATTAACTGTAATATTTGCACATAGAGAAAAAAATGAAAATGTCAAAAAAAAATTTGTTGTCTGTCAAATTATTTATGTTGTATTATTTAAAACTCACTCAGAATTGAATATGCTTGTTGATATATTTTTTATATATATCTAAAAATAATTTTCACATTTTATACCATTTTGATGAAGCAGCAATTGAATAAAATTTACAAAATATTATTTAGCTTATAAATAATCTGTAATATTTATTCAGTTTTATATTAATTTTTTAATTTACAAAATTTATATATATTGCCTAAGTTTGTAATTATTATTTTTTATTATTCTTTTATTTTGTAGTGATATTATTATTATTTTTTTTGCGTTTTTTCCCTCAGTGTATATAATGTACATGCAAACATAATACGTCGAGCAGTCGGCTGGCTGGCACGCCCATTGTTATAGGGCTCACGCCGCCCGGCAGCAGCAGCAGCGGCAGCAGCAGAGCCAGAAGAAGCAGCGCCATTGGCATTGGCATACCCCAGTTGCCGTTGTATGATAAACTTTTCTAATTGTCAGTTTCAGCAAGTGACAAACGACAGAAATTATGTTATCTTATCAAAGTTGGCGCTACTTTTGCTCAGAATGTGCTGGGTCTTGTAACTGTCTATGTGCCTCTCTCTGTAAGTATGTATGTGCCTGTCTCATTCTCTCTCTCTCTCTTACTCACTTTCTGTGTGTTTGTATTGTGCTGGTAGCAAAAGTTGTTACCAGTCATTCGAAATTTAAGAATATTATCTTTAAGCATGTTGTTTGTATATATCAACATTGTTTGCTGCTGTTGTTGTTATACTTGTTGTTCTTTGTTTGCTTGTATTGCATTGTTCTTGTCGTTCTTGTTGTTATTGTAACTGCTGTTGTTGTTGTTGTTGTTATAACTGTTACTGTTACTTATTAACATTACAAAAGCGCGTGTGCTGTGCCTTTTGGCGTAAATTCAGTTATGCCAAATTGACTTCTGTCAGACAACTCCACCAAAACTCAACCCCTCACCCACCCTCTCGGCCAACCAGCTCATCGACCGACTAATAAAATATGTATTAAAATGCAAACTGGTTTCGGCTCAGACTGCCTTATTTTATTTGCTTGGGTTTCATTCGGCAGCACTTAAGGCAAACAGCGCCAAGCAGCTGCTGCAGTTCTCAGGCCTATTTTCAGTCTTGTAAAACTTCTGCTCCGCATATCATTTACACATACACACACGCACAAAGAGAGAGTCTGCTCGAGTCTGAAAGAAACTTGCCAGTTGACATGAAAAATGCTTTTTGA